AATTCGGTACTTACAATACTCGCCCCCATGCAAGCGTGAGCTGGTACCAGCCTAACAGAACCTCGAGGTGCTCATCACGGGCTGGACCTTTGACATGGAGCCTCCACTTCCATCGTTGTAGCGGGAGCCAGGAACGGGCAGCCGAGCGATGACTGAAGCCACAAGGGAAGCCAGGAGGAAGAAAGCTTGTGAAGAGAGAAATTCAAGCACGGAGACTTTCCATGATGCAAAAATGGTTGTGTTTTTAAATTACACTAGTAGTACCTAGCCGCTTTCCAGATCAGATCCCCCACAAGAAGCCAAACCGCCCCAATCCCAGTTCTTGATTTGTCTGAACTAACAACACCTGACGTCCTGTCCGCCTGGCCTCAGCTTCTACACCAACACAGACCTACCTACCTACATCTAGGTTGGCTGCCTACCTCTACCTTTACTCTACATATACCTACAGTGCTATATCAATTACTACATTCGGTTTCCAAGTTTGTCCCTCTATCCGGCATTTAGCGGCTTCTTTTTGTTTCGCCTTGTGCCTTTCACTCCAAGCTCCGCCTTGAAATCTTCGCATTTCTTCCAAACAGCGACCAAGCTTCTCGGCCTGGAAACACGTGCTCGAGACTGGAGTTTAGCGCACCCAGCCGAGTTCCTTGTCACGTTCGAACATTTCGGCCTACCAACATCATCTGATCGGCCCGGTACATCGAGGTACCTCTCCCGACGACAACGGCCCGTCTTTCACGTGCCTCGAAACCGACTGCGGAGCCGGCCACTCACGTCAACACCACAACCTCACCTCACCTAGCCGGTGGCGGCACATCATCGAATCGCAACGCACCCGCCGAGGCCGCCTCCCTCTAAGCTCCCGGCCACCGGCCCCACGACGATTCCCGGGTCCCCTCAGCGGGTCTCCGGCAGCCGTTCCCCAGTTCTCGGCTATCCCGCAGCCGTCGGCCTCATCGGCCGTGCTCTAGCCGTCCCAGCGGTCGGGGTCTTGGATATCTCTTCGTTTCCCGGCTAGGCCGGATGTACGTGCTGGACTTGTAAACATTGCAAATGCTATTGCCTGGCATGCCCCGATAGTCCGAGTACAAGCCCGCGGCGACAACCCAATCTAGTGTCTAATCCGCTGAACCAGCCGCAACACTTGCCAAATTCTCTACATACGTCATCGTGCCTCTCATGACTCAACGGCAACTTCATACAGCCTCGCGTCATCCCTCACTCCAGCTTTTGTCACATCAGCTACTGCCTGCTGGTCCTGCCTCTGCCGACATGCCGCCGCCGCCGCCGCTACATCATCAAGAGCCGCCGACGCCTGACCAGCCTCAGCCAGTGTTCGGTTGTAAGTCCACTCACCCCCCCCTTTAGTATGTGTTTTTCAATCAAATATCTTACAAACTGGCCTTGACGGTCTCTCGCAGACTTGCCCCAGAACGTAGCACAGCCACCGGCACCCCTCGCCACTCTTCTCACGGACGACCAATCCAGATATCTTGACAGCTTTTTCCAAAACCTGAATGATGCTGCAGCTGATGACCCTTTCCTAATATCACCAGACTTCGAGGAAGAAGGCTTAGCTTTTACTTCAGAATGGAATACGCGGCCGGGAAACCTTGTTGGATCAAATACTTCGTTCGCTCCTTTCGCCCGCACCAACTTCAACACTGGCTTCAGTGATTTGTCAAGTGTACATAGCTTTGGGGGTCCATCATTCCATCACCAGCTCCAAGCGCCGCCACGGGCAACGGACGGTATACATGATCTCCTAAATGCCGCTGCCGCTCTCCCTAACGAGGTAGGCGGCCATGGAGGGAACACTTTCGAGCAAAGTTACGGGGGTAGCAGTACTTCTGGGGGGCAACATGGCATTCAACAGACAGACAATAGCTTCGGCGGTGCGGCCATTGCCTTGGCCATGCGCCCTTACGCGTCCATTAACGAGCCTTCCAATAACTTCTACCGCGACATGATCTTCCAACAGCCAGGGCAGTCGCAGCAACCCCGCCAAAACAGCTACCAGCATGGGCAGCCGGTAAGGATCCAATTCGGTACCGACACCAGCTTCTCCCAGTCAACATTCACACCCCAGAGGACGCAGGAGAGCTCCGAGGTCATGAGCCAAGCACAACTGAAGGTACTGGATTGTCTGGTACCCAGCCAAAGCGCCGCCACAACGCGTGCCTCCAGTCCTGTAACGCAGGGGCAGGGGCAAGGGAACGAGCACCACGGGTCATTCTCACCGCCCAAGCTACGAACACATCATCGCCCGTCCTTACCTCAGGCACTTGCCTCCATACAAGAGGAAGGAGGACCGCCCAAAAAGAGAAGGGCAACAGTGGACAACACCACTAACAACGATGCCGCGATGGCATCACCCGGCCCGCTGGCTACCTTTTCCAACAGTCCCTACAGCCCGTTTTCCCAATCCGGGTTTGCCCCTTCCTCTCCCATGACGTCGCTAGGTGGTAGAAAGTCAGCGGGTCCAGGAGGAGCAAAGGGGAAGAAACTCTCACGCCAACAAGGACTTCCATCTCCCAATACAGTATCAGAACCCACAGACTCCCAAGCCCCGAGTGGTGACACACGATCACCAAACGATGACGAAGATAACAAGCCCGCTCGACCGGGCAAGAGGCGTCGCTCCTATAAAGAAAAGAAGCCCAACCTGACGCTGGAACAAAAGAGGCTGAACCACATCGACAGCGAGAAGAGGCGGCGGTACATGATCAAGTCAGCCTACGATAATCTGTCGATTATTATACCGGGGTACAAGGAGGCTGGTGTTAGCAAAGCGGGGGGGATACAGTTAGCCGTGGATTTCTTGAAGAAGATAATGGAGGAGAATGAGGAGTTGAAGGAGAGATTGGAGAGAGCGAGGGAAAAGGCTGGGGTTAAAAGTACTGGGACAGATGTTGAAATGACAGAAAGGGGGATACAAACTGGGCAGGAAGGGGGAGATAACGGTGCTGAGGAACAATGATGACATACGGTAGCCAAGCCGTAGTGTTTGACCTTGGATATGTTGGTACATCACTTGCGCATTTACGAGCCATGCCTTTGTGATTAACCATGCAGAAAGTGCCGACAATAGGACATCTAGGTAGCTGGAGTGAGGCTACTGCATTGGTTGCTTTGGTGAACGGCAGTCTGCATCTACCATTTGCTGGGTGGACTATGCCGAGGGTTTATCCAACCTCGAGAGAACCTAGTCACAACAAAACTTGCAAAGGATAAGTAAGGGCCTTCACTTCACATCTCGAGGTGCAAAAGCAAAAAAAAAAAAAAAAAAAAAAGAGTTGTACGGTAACTGGAATCGTCTCTGATGGCTCCCACGAAAGCTCGCTCAAGCACACTCCGCGGCTGTAAATGCGTAAAAGAACTCTGTGGGTAGGAAGAGCGGCTCTGCGGATCAGCACGATTTCCTGAACGAGCCGCATCCTGGTCATTTTGCCACTCCCTGGCAATCGCAGTATCACATGGCGAGTACAATGGAGAGTACCAATCAAAATCCCGTCTCATTCTGCCCATGGACCAGCCGAGGGACACAAACGCCTTGAACATATTGTCCTACTATAGCTACCTTGCATTATCAGGACGTCTTTCTTCCAAGTTAAGGCAGCGCAATCTCGTCGAGGTTTCAGTTTTCATCTTCCATCCATCCCCTGTACCTATTCTTTTAAACCCCTGAGACCCCTTCCATTTCACATGTTCATGCATTCTCCCCATCACAATCCCTCTCATTGCCTCGCTTGGACCTCCCCCGTCCAAATCCTCTTCCTGATCCGTTTACCCTCGCACCCCGGACCCTCTCTACCATACCCCCTTCGACAAGATCACCCACAGATAGACCACTCCCAAGCCTCCCCCCCC